CTATCCGCAACTAACTCGTGAAACAATGACCACATGAATGTTACTGTTTCCATGAAGATGGACCTCAAATATTTATATATTACCAGCGAAGTGTAAAATAGACATGAATCAGAAAAAAATACAAATCTAGAACAATACTACCAATACATTTATAACAGATCACCGTGTCCTTGTATAACAGGTATAATTGGGGGTTTCATCATACCATTTTCACCTCCCACAGATGAGCGTTCTTCTCCCCAGTACGTATGGCTTGATTCAAATATCGCAGACCCATCTTCACGAGGCAAAGGAGACATCACATTCTCATTATCATCACTCATTTTCTTCAGGCACAACTTATCGTCCACAACTTCATAATAGTCCGCAGTTCTCACCTCCTGAGCAAGAGAACAGAAGCAACAACAAAGCCACTGAAAGCAATCAGTAACCGAGGGTCTACCACAGCACAAACTATCCCCGGGAAGATTAAACCTCTTCCTCATCTGAATTCTCCAAAATCCGCCATATAACAGTCCAAATATACAAAGGATGAATCCCGAGATACCCAGAGCCTCGCGAACATCCTCATTATCAATATTCAGTGCTGCCAAGTTAAAGACGAAGAAAGGAGCTAGACAAAATAGAAGGAAAGTAACAATATGGACATACATATTGCCAAATCCAAGCCTATCCATATTCCAACCGAAAACACAGCAACTGCAGAATACTGACATATAAGCTAGCGAGATATCATCCCAAAAATCAAATATACCTCCAATCCATTGTGGTGAACTTACTGGAGTACTGTTATCTGCTCTTGAAATAAATGAGTATTTTTTCTCGTCCTGTGCTTCTTGATCTATTTCAGCATCATATTCCTTTCCAAGAGGGCTAAGGATATTGTACACACCGGCGACAGCTGGCGCAGCTATTGCAATAGAGACACAAATACCAACTCCTATAGCAGGTCGTTTGGATCTCGGGTATCCAATATTAAGACCACATAATGCATATTGCGCAAAACAATTTATATGAAGAAGAACAACCACAATCATCATATGCTTCCACTCGTTAGGCTTCTCAGTTCCATCTTTGCAGTATATTTTCCTGAGCTTGAGAATGTCTTGTGATCGCCAACGGCACAAGAGAACAAGATGATGGAACCTCTTAGGATGTTGATAGAGGCACATGAGAGTAAATAATGCATTTAAGATTTGGTTGTTGACCTCAAACCAGGTGTCACGTTGGGATTTCCTTGGTAAAGCACTGTTAAGCATTCCGGTCATAACTAGGAAGAGAATGGCGCCTGATATGGCAACACAAACAATCCAAACAAAAAGGGCCATGTTCAGAGGATTCCTTATCCACTGTTTATACGCTTCCCATAAAGATGTCCAGTTGATTTTGCGGACAAAAGGAATAATAGAGAGTTTTGTGGAACCTTGAGTAGAGCGATGAGCGGCAGAGCATGAGACATCTTGGTTTTCATCTGTAATCTTCCAGAACTTGGAAGAAGCAGAAGGGAATCTGCTAGAAGACCCAAATCTCATAAACTTAGGGAGGCCTATTACTTTATCCTGAAATCTTTTCCCACGTTTTTTCTCATCCAATAATCCCCTTTGAGATGAACCTAGGTAAAGAGGAATGTGATTTTTGCCTCCATAACCGTTTTGCGTTGCAGTTGCTCCCAAGTCTTCTTGAATCTCTGTTGCGCTTTTCCCATTTTCAGTTGAAACCATTATCTTTTGCAGTTTTGGCAACTGACTGTATCAATTAGTAATAGATTGAAGAGAACCTCCAATTAAGACGCAGAAATCATTTAATTTAGTTGGTATCTTACGTATACTCTCAAATCTGCTTCCATATACATCTGCAGTAGTATAAGGGCACTGTACCTCAGCGAAACACTTGCTCAAACAGGATAGCTGGAACAAACCCTTTGAAATTAATACTGAACTGGTGCAGATAGAGCAGATTTTATGTTCTAGAGACCAAAATCGATCTTCTCCGAAATCAAAAGAGTTTCCTGCAATGAATAGCAAACCAAACTTCAATTAATATGGATGCCAAGATTTCATTCCACATTCATTTGAGATGAAGGCTACATCTTATAATCTAATAATGCATTGATTATTATTATTATTATTGTTATTATTTTTGTGGTGAGAACAAGCATGCATTGAAGTTACTGGAATTAGATGGAAATTAGGTTAACAATTAAACATCCAGTAACAAAGTCAAAGAGTGATCAAAGCCAGAACAAGCATCACATATCAAAGATAATACCAACAATTGTAAGGGTTTGATCATATAAAATAACCAAGAACCTCGATTTCGTTACCTTTTCAAAGGGGACTTTCTGGAGATGCGCGGTAACAAAGATAAGGTAAGTTTTACAAAAGAAGGCATTGTGGGAACTTAGCACTTGCTTTACATGAAGTTATCTGGTGATGATGACATCTATAAGAAGGCACTGTGAGGAATTCTATGGTAAGATATACTCTACAATACAACGGAGTGGCAAAATGCAAGATGAGACCCTTTTGAAGATAGCTCAAGCCATGACCTTAACAACATGATGTTAATGAAATTCTTGCCCAAATCAGCCAAAACAACTTGCTGTTGGTTGGCCAATCATCATCTACTTTATTGTTTGAATTACATCAGAGAGGTCCTGGCATTTATTCACCTCATTCTTCCTATAGAATTTTCTTATTGATTTGCTTACGCCATACTAATAAAGATAACCTTGAATCCACAACAAAGAAGGTATTTGCCTAGGGATATCTGGAATGAGGAAAAACAAGATTTATCAATCCCAATTTGTCATCTACAAGGACGAATAATTTTGAGATAATTCATGTTATAGAAAATGGAAGAGGAAATTGCGAACATAGGGAATTTATGTACTAGCAAGCAAGTGAAGTTGGAGAGGGGATCTTTGGACGGGTTGAAGAATGGAACTTTTAAGTTTGCCTTTGGCCAGGATAAGCATATAAGATTCTGATGTTGGCTACGATTCTAACTTTAGTCCATCAAGGTATAGACATCTTCAAAGTTTTGATGTCGGGCATAGATCTGCGCTGTGCAAATCTTGTTCATTTCTCATTCCCACCATTCATTTGCTTGCTAGGTAGACATTGCTGCCTTTGGCAAAAGTGAAGCTTCTTTTTGCAGCGAAAGATTTCTACTTTAGCTCCATGCGAAGTATTAGACCACTAGTTTCAATGGGTACATGGAATTTTTAATGCATTAGAAAGCAAACAATTCCTAGATTTAAAAAGAATTTTTTTTATGGACCATCACCAATTTGCATATAGGGAAGCATTACATAGATGCAAGCCAAAATGTTGCACATCATTAGCTCCGTCAAATGTCTTCCGTCGCCTATTTTCTTCTTAGTTCTGTCGAACACTATTTTTGCACAGCGTTCCATGGCCATTCTCAAGTAATCAAATTAAATGATTTAGTTCACAATTTCAAGGAAAACGAAATCTGATTTCTAGCAGACCCCTCTGCCAGTAACAACTGTAACAAAGTAAGTTGGTTAAAAATTACACTTTTAAGATCCTTAAAATCATGAAAACACTCCTAGAAACACCAGATTATATGTAAAAAACTCTAATAATTGCTATGAAAAAGGGAAAAAATAAACTCACCAGCGCTATAAAATTAAGATGGGTATCAAAGAACCAGCAGGACCTCCTCCTTTCGAAAACCCCAACTTAAAAAACAAATGGGTTTCCTCAAAAGTTGTAGAATTTCCAACTTATTTCAATTTTAGGGGCAGAAAGTTAATAGCTTTCGCAGAGAGAGGACGCGTGATTAATTCGCCGAAGAAATTTTTGAACAGAAAAGAACGACGATGGCTGGCTTCTAGTAGGATGGAGTTTCCATTGGTTCTTTGTTCAACCCTTTGGACCGTACTTGACACGCGTCGACAACCCCTTTTTTTTGACACGGATACACGAATTTTTATTATTATTAAAATAAGCTTCACACGCCTTCATGCCTTTGTGATAATCGAGTTGTAATGTTTACAACCAAGAAATCACTCAACACTGAATTTGATATTAAATCACTCGAGGATTATATGCCTAATTTAGGAAGATCTTTTGAGAGAGGAAAACAAAAAAGTGCAAGAATTTTGTTAGGCACAAGATTATTATTGTTTTCTAAAACGAGATTATGCCTTATGGGGAAACAAATCAAGTTGTTTCATCTATCCAATTTGTTCCGCACAAATGGGGCTAAGCATGGTTCGATCCAAACCGAAAAAACCGACCGAACCGATCCGAACCAATCCGAAAAAATCGGTTTTATGAGTAGGGCGGTTCCGGTCGGTTTGAAAACTTTTCAACCTGAACCGACCCGAACCGACCGAATATAGTGCAATACTACCCATTCTGATCTCAAACTCTACTTGATCCGTCTCCAAAGAGTCAAAGACTCAAACCCTAAACTCATTTTCTGAATCATTATAGGTTGAAAACAATATCATTATATTAATGTTTAATGCTTCATAATCTCCTACTTTATTGATATATTTTTTTTAACACTGTTTGTTGTTTGATAAGAAGTTTGATGAAGTTAGAACCGAACAAACCGAACCGAACCGCACCGAATTGACTTGCAATAATTCGGTTCGGTTTTGAATTATAGACGGTTCGGTTCAGTTTTTCAAATTTTGGTAAAAACCGAACCGAACCGACCATTGCACACCCGTACGCACAAACACCAGAAAAGTATCTTTCTGTTTTGTGGTACGCAAGCAAAAGAGAGCAATATTGTGCAATGTGATCCGGCGTAGTTGTCGAAATATCCGAGAGCAAAACTTGTGTCAACTTAAGTGGATAGCAAAAAGTTATCCACCAAACCTTTTAGCCACTCATATTGCCTAGGGATCATTGCATGAGATGAAAAGGTTTTTTGTATTAATAAATGAGTAGTTAGGAAGTTTGATGGACATCAACTTAAGTTGATAGCAGTCTTACTCATAAATTTAAATTCTCTGTTTTGTTTTGTCTTGACGCACTTCGCGTTTTAAAGTAGAATAATAGAGTAAATTGATTTTATTCATTTCTTGCGGAGTAGAATATAGAGGTTAGGATACAAAATAAAGAAATATGATAGAGTAGTCACAATATTAACAAACATTGATTATGAAAATCATATTTGTTGCTAGATTGTTGAATATATCAAACTAGTGTGCACCTCGTGCAAAGCACGACCTCTATTTTTTTTATTTCTGCTACAGTAATTTTATATTTAAATATAGTTTTTGTAAGTGTTACAGTAATATTTAAAAAAAATGCTACAATATTTCACCCGAGCTACTATAACAATGCTACAATAATATTTTAAACGCTACGGTTCCTGTTTGTACTACAGTAATTTATTGTAGCATGAATAGTGAATATTGGATCCTCATGTTTATGATACAGTGACAATGTTACAATAGTTACTGTTACATTACTGTGGTATGAATAGTGAATATTGGATCCTCCGGAATATATTTTCTTACAGTGTCTCAAGAGACAAGCTAATTTCTTCCGCACGATATGAATTTGTGGACATGGTAGACGAGCGCGTGAAGCTTTCGTGCTCTCCGTCACCGCAGAGCTTATTGGTCCTGGCTTTTGAGATGACCTCTTTGTAGAATTAATTGCAGTTTCCATTTCCAAAAAGGCTAATTTTCAGCCGTGGAGAATTTTGAACTAACTGTTAAATTGATCAAATTCTAATAATAAACAAAAATTTCATGGTTGCTACCGCCAAATTTTTACCCGGTAGAGATTGAATACTTTCTCTATCTACTCTCTGACTTGGATTTTGTTGGAATAAGCTCCTGCCAACTGTCCATTGTGGTTGATTCACTGGTAAGATAAGAGAGGCAGAAGCTAAACGAATATAATCAGTAGAAGCTAAACAAATCATGTCCGCACTGAAATTAATCAAATATAGAAATAATAGAACCAAAACCATTTTCTGAACAAAACAAAACAAGACTTTGGTTTGATAGGTTAGAACCCAGAACAATGTATAAATAAAAAATTACAATTAGATTGGGTTTAAACAATTACACAAACAAAGTCGAAGACATGTTGGGTAAGACAATCTTTGGTTTCGCGATGGAACTTCCCCATAGTTAACGCCGTGGAGGTACATAAAAATCGGGCATGACTTGTCTGCAATAAGAAGGGTCGACCTGCTTAATTTTTATATACTCTCCAATATATATGTACAACAATATTGAAGAGCAAAAATAAAGCAGTGAAAATATATACAACACTCAGAATCATAAGGTTGACAACATAGTCCATAGAATACCAGAATAGTAGAAAACTAAAGGGAGCAATAATGCATTACAAGTCTGATACTAGCTACAATACATATTAGTACATGTTCAATAAGTTAAAAATACTACAAAAGTAACTACAAATTAGCTCCTATTATGATTTCTTCTGCAGCTAATCCTCTCAGTCTAATCTTCTAAGTCAGGGTCTGTAATCTTCTTGCCCTTGCCAACTGTATGACATGTGTGTTTAGTGGAAAATTTACAGTAAAAACAATGAAAGAAAATTAACTTGTATTCTCTCGATCTTAATTACAATTTGACTTCCGATTACAAAAGAGAGGAGAATGGTCTGGATTCTCCCCTTTGTTTAATTCTGGGTTCTTAACGGTGGCGATGAAGTGCCTCCCTCGAATGTTCGCGTCGAGTTTGCTCTCCGTTGATGATCCGAACGTCTTGATTCACTGGAACGATATATTCTCCTCACGATTTGACGTTATGGAGAACTTGCAAAGCAAGTTTGAAACTCTTAATGAGTTGATAACTCTGAACGAGTTTGAAACTCTATGGAAGAATATTGTATGTGTTATTTTTAAGGATAACCCGATCATTCAGCTGAGTACAATGTTAGACCCAGTTTCACAAAGAAAGCTGGTGGTGGATGTAACGGGAAGTTCCCGAAAGAATGCTATATGTTGTGTTCTTAAGGATAACCCGGTCGCTACAAAAATGGGATGAATAAGAAACTCCTACTTGGACTCTAAATGCTGGGAGAAATTCCACCAACTTCCGAGCACTCTTTTGCTGAGATGAGAGTTGATCACATCGTTGGATCAATCTTCCCTCATAAAAAAAAACTCCTACTGGTGTTGATGATTCATAGTTCTCCACCACAAAATCCATCACTGATCAAATTAATTAACAGTGGGTCCACTAAAATTCTTTCTGGTTTAATCCATTCAAACTCACACTGTGTCTATGCACTCAACACTCCAATTGTTAGAGTCCGGACATAATGCTTCGAACTTTAATATGCCAATCCTCGACAATTGTCAAACCCCTTCGTGTTAAATCTTTACCACTTGACACCAAGAACACCCACTGAGTGATCGGTATAAGTCAACACTCCCACTGTGATTTGTGCTCCCACTCCCACTGTTTACCTGGTTAAAACTTTCTACAGTTAGGACCATAACCAAAATCTCCTCTCGATTCCTCCCATGAACGAGAAGTCCACTTTTAAATCAGGTGATCAAATCTTCCTACAGTTAGGGTCGCCTCAAAATCTCACCTAGTCAAACCTTCCTACAGTTAGGATCATAACCAAAATCCCCTCTCAATTCCTCCAATGAACGAGAGGTCCACGAATCAAGCGATCAAACCTTCCTACAGTTAGGATCGTCTCAAACCTTCCATTTGGTCAAACCTTCCTACAGTTAGGACCAAAACCAAAATCCCCTTTCGATTCCCTCCATGAACGAAAGGTCCACTTTCAAATCGAGTGATCAAACCTTCATACAGTTAGGGTGACCTCAAACACCCACTTGGTCAAATCTTCCTACAGTTAGGACCAAAACCACAATTTACTCTCGATAAACGAGAAATCCACCTTTAGTTCGGTAATCAAACCTTCCGACAGTTAGGATTATCCGAATCTTTTCAATTCTCGGAGTGGAGATCCCACTCTTAATTTCACTCTTCAGATTCTCAAAGTGGAGATCTCACTTTGAGTTTCCTTTGTAACTGGAGATAGAGTATAAAATTCTTTCTCTCCAGCATCGGGTTCGTCTTTACCCCAAGAGAAGACACTACTTTTCGACACCCATAATCTACGTCTAACACGCGTTGCCGGTTTAGTCTTTCACCGATTTTAAAAGACATCAGAATCCAAGTCTAGGAACTTTTATCCCGAAACCTAAGTAGGGATAAGTCAGCGCCTAACATGCGTTACCGGTTAGTCTTTGACCGTAAAAAAGATAAAAGCCCACATATTCGACATTGTGGCAAACCATTATTAATAACGCCAAAATCCGCGCCTTACACGCGCGAGGAACTTTATCTCGACTCCTAAATAGAGATAAGCCTACGCCTAACACGCGTTGTCGGTTTAGTCTTTCACCGATTGAAGAAGACACCATAATCCAAGTTTGGGGACTTTTATCCCGAAGCCTAAGTAGGGATAAGTCAGCGCCTAACACGCGTTGTCGTTTAGTTCTTGACCGTAAAAAAAAAGCCCATATATTTGATATTGTGGCAGACCATTATTAATAACGCCAAAATCCGTGCCTCACACGTACGACGAATTTTATCCTGAATCCTAAGAAAGGATAAGTCAACGCCTAACACGCGTTGTCGGTTTAATCTTTCACCAAATAAAAAAGATACCAGAATACAAGTCTGGGGACCTTTATCCTGAATCCTAAGTAAGGATGAGTCAACGCCTAACACGCGTTGCCGGGTAGTCTATTCCCGTGACAACAAAGTCTATGTATTCAAAATCATAGCACCAAGTCTAAGAGAATTAGCTCTCTTAGCACAACATCACATGTGAAACGAGTTTTAATAATTCACATGCTAGCCCGACTCAAACGGTAGTTGGTAAAGGTACGTCAAATCCGTTGATGGCTAAGGATTGGCCAAAAATCCTAAGTCTACGTCTAACACACGACGCCGGGTAGTCTATTCCCGTAAGAAAGACGAAGTTTAAGTATTCAGTATCGTAGCATTAAAAGAGTTAACTCTTTTAGTATAACGTTACATGCAGAACGAACTTAAACAATCTGCATGCTAGCACGACTCAAACGGTAGTCGGTAAAGGCTCATCAAACCCATTAATGGCTGAGGGTTTGCCAAAAATCCTATAAATGTGAGAGTCGTTGACGCACCAGCTCCATTAGTTGGTCTCGTGACTTAAGAATCCGATAATTTTAGGATAAGATCCATACATGCAGATGAATCATCTTTAATAGTTGGTCCCATAGCATCGACATTTGGGACTGCCACGCTCCAACGCTTTAAGAGCTTAAACTGTGTAGACCCCAGTAAATGTACGAGTATAAACTATGTTAATACCTGTCAACGCGTTGCGATGAAAGTCAACGTCGATCGATGTGAAACCCTAAGGTCAGCGTCGGTCAACGCGTAGCCCTAAGTCAATATATTATGACGGAGATAGTCAGTTCTAAGTCAACTCGATGACACGAGCCAAAATCAACTTACCAGTTTTTTATTCGAGACTTCGACGACGGCTAAACGATGAACGCAGCGTCGGAAGAATTTTAGCTATTCGTTAAAATATTGAATAGACTAAAAATCGAAGGAGTCAAGAGTCAGAGCTAACTATAGGTCCTTTTACACCGACTGAATGTTGGACCGATCACATCCAAAGTATTTCAGACTCCTCTATAAAAGAAACGAGACTGAAACACTTTGGAGGGGGTATCTGTAGGCATCTAAAAATGCCTATAGGTTCCAGCACGTGGCTCGAGACAGAGAGATGATGATGAACGTCGCTATTTGACTCACAGAAGCTCATTTGACGACGACAAGCACATGAAGTGAGTCAACGAACCATGCAAACCGACGGAACTTCGGAATAACGGAAACACGAATGGATCGGGAGTTACGCGTCGCTTACGAAAGACGAAACTCCCCTCGTGTCCCGTTTACTCCACATATGATTCAATCATGGAAGCTCGTAGATCTGCTCGTCAGCTTTCCAACGCATATTGAATCGCGTAATTCCGAGTCCGGACGACGAAAATACGATGAAAACGGACGAACGCGCGGAATAATGCTCTAAGCCTCAGCGAGACACCAAGTGGTGTCTCGACCAAGGCTTGGCCGAGACACCCACGGGTGTCCGTAGCCCCGAAAATAGTTTTTAGCAGATTTAAGCTATTTTTCGATCGTTAACCGCCTGAATTTGTTCCAACTGATAAAATATCATCCAAGAACGTGGTTAAGTGGTTACAACTGAAGATAAGAGTGAATCGATCATTCTTATCCGAAAATAGGAGTCCCAAAGCCTATAAATATAGCCCCTAAGCCTTCATCTTTTGAGATCTGGAATTCTCGAGCGTTTGGCGAAGCCCTACTGGATTGAAGACTGATGGAGCACGAATTTCAGAAGAGAGGAGGAGATCGGAACAAGTTCGTCAGCATAAAGAAGAGAAGCTCGTCAGATCTACACTTTCCAGTTCATTGTCTTGAGATTGCCCCGTTGCGGTGATCTTGAGAAGAATGATTATCTCGCTGTTGCCGAGATAATTGCTTCGGTTTCTTGATTCCTTCGCGAATCAACGAAGCTCCGGACCTGATCTGATCGTTTGGTAGTCCACGGATATCAACATCCCCGTCACAGGCCAAGATCTCACGCAAACAGCAGAGGATAAACGTCCATTGCATTTGTTTTAAAGGAAAGTTATAATTTTTGTTGAAAGTCTTATAAAAAGACCATTTTTTGAGTTTGTTATAAAAGCTTAAAGTTGTAATGAACTCGTCAATGAAAACAATTTTCTCCCCAAACAATAGACATGACATGTGAGCTTTGGAAATGAGAATATAGGTAATAAGGACGGTTTATTTGCAAAATTCTCTTACACTCATGGCTCAAATTATTTAAATGAGTTAATTAGAGTGTTTCAAAATAAGTATTTGTCAATTTGAGTTATCTCTAATCAAAATTTAAAACATGGTTGGATTAGATTTACATGTTAGGTTTATATGCATGTTATGACTTAGTTTACTCGATCATAAAATGAGGGTTTTACTAAGTTAGAATCCTCATACTAGAAGATTATATAAAACATAAGAAAGAAAAGAAAATTACTGATTCATGGATAGGCATTGTTGATGGTATCCGATCACTGGAAGGAAAAGAAAAAATTTGCAATGACACCCATGATCCTTCGGACAATGAGTATCAAACCCCAGGCGTGGATAACAAACAACTTCAATATACAGTCTCGGATATTCTAGAAAATTAAATTCCTGTGAATGCTTTGAGAATATGACCATCATGCAAGAGATGCCCTAAAAAATAGATGATGTACACACACAAATTTATGGAGTTTTGTGCTGCAGTCACAAGTAAGCATACGGCAAGGGTTGGTAATATCAACTTCACAATAAAAAACTACTAGAAATACAAGCACTTGGATTTTCGATTGCAGAAACATTAGGGACCCTTTAGATTGTCTCTAATTTCCTGGCCTAATTGCCGAGCCAGGTGCAAAAGAAACTAGAAACATATTTACAATATTGTGTCTTAAAACATTTTCTTTATCTTTACCCAGCGGCATGACAAAGATCACTCTTTGCAAGTATCTACTTGGATCGATGAAGAGACAAATCTAGAAGAACCCGGAAAAATTTATGCGGATACATGGGTGGCTGCTCTGCGAGTGCCTGAAATGGTGATTCGCAGAAATTAGTAAAATTATACTGTCAGATGTCATGAGCTTGGAGGAAGACATTTCCTGATAGAGTGGTGTTAGGGGCACACCCCCAACCACACCCTCCACCACACCTCCTCTCCATCTATAGTGCATTGGGCCCCACATCAAATTTTTTAATCAAAATTATGTGGTGCCCAATGCACTATAGAGGGAGAGAAGGTGTGATTGAGATTGTGGTTGGGGGTGTGCCCCTAACATTTCTATTCCTGATACCTGATGAATTAAGACAGTTGATGGTGTCATTCCAGGCACAGTGTTGACCTCTATAACCAATACCTGAAATGGATATACCAGAAGGGAATTTCAGAATCTTGCAGGAATTTATTTCACACAGACATCGGCCTTAAATTCTATACCTAATGAGCAATGTATCACACCAGAAAAGAAAAAAGAAATTGCCTGGACAATCCATGCTAATGCTATTAATATCGCATAGCCATCTGATAGAGTGGGGAATGATTGAACACAGTTGCTTGGATGAGTAGGAAACATCAGCCTTTGGAGAGTTGGAATGTAATGAAGTTGTGGAGCGT